TAAGATATGCAGAAGACTTATGTATAGTCCAAGAAATAGCGAGAAAGGTACCAGGGAAACAAAAACAGTCCTTGCAGTTCCATAGATGATTACTGAGAGCCACTCAACGTGTCTTACAAAAAAAAACCTCATCTTAAATAGATTTGTCTGAGAAACGAGTGCTTCAACCAGCTTTCTAACTCCAACCCACTCTTTCTTAACTCTTTCTTTTCACTTACGACCCCTCTGCTTGTTCAATCCTTTATTATCACCAGCTGCCTTTTGGCTTATAGGTCCAGTCCCAAAGGCGCCCAAAGCATCAAGAAAGAACTTTTTGTTGGGGATAATCCCATCTTTGTCCATACATGTCAGCAATTTTTGTACTAGCTCCTAAGTAATTCCAATATCACCTGAGTCCAGTAACCGAACTCCAATACTAGCTATCTGATGAATCTCATGGGCTATTTCCCTCTTCTCTGGTTGTAAATATGATAGGCTACCCATAGATCTACGGCTGAGGGTATCGGCTACTACGTTCACCTTCCCGGGATGGTATAAAATAACAACATCATAATTTTTAAGTAGCTCAACCATCTCCTTTGACGTAAATTCAATTCCTTTTGCTTGAAGATATACTGGAGGCTCTTATGATCCGTATAGATATCAACATGAATGACATACAAGTACTGCCTCCACATCTTTAGTGCATGAATCACCGCGACTAACTCTAAATCGTGGGTCGGGTAATTCTTCTCGTGCTTTCTAGTTATCTAGAAGCATAAGGTACAACCTTACCATGCTGCATCAGTACACAACCCAATCCAAAACTCGAAGCGTCAATAGATCGGATAACCTTCGGTTCCCTCTGGGAGTGTTAGAATCGGTGCTGAAGTTAGTCTATCCTTCAATGCCTGGAAACTCCGTTCGCAAGCATCAGTCCATTGAAACTTTACTCCCTTCCAAGTCAACTTTGTCAAAGAAGCTGAAAGAGAAGAAAATCCCTTTACAAATCTCATGTAATAACCTGCCAAACCGAGAAAGCTACGAACCTCCATCAGTGTCGTGGGTCTAGGTCAAGTCTTTACTGCCTCAGTATTTTTTGTGTCAACTTGGATACCCTCACCCAAAATAATATGCCTAAGGAAAGCTACAAAGTTCAACCAGAATTCACACTTAGAGAATTTTTCATACAACTTCCTTTTTTGTAGAACTCTGAGCACAGTACGCAAATGATCTGCATGCTCAATCACTCTGAACGAGAATACACCCATATATCATCAATAAATACAATTACAAATAGATCTAAAAAGGGTCTGAACACAAGGTTCATTAAGTCCATGAATACTGCTGGGGCATTGGTCAAATCGAACAACATAACACGAAACTCAAAGTGCCCGTATCTGGTCCTGAATGCTGTCTTCGGAATATCCTCTTCCTTAACCCTTACCTGATGGTACCTGGACCTCAAGTCTATCTTTGAGAAACACTTGGCACCTTGCAACTGATGAAATAAATCATCAATCCTCGGGAGTGGGTACTTATTCTTGATCGTCACCTTATTTAACTGTCCATAATTAATACACATCTGTAAGGAACGGGGAGCCTATTATCCAGGAGTTACGTAAAGCTATTCCTCTACAATGTGAACTAAAAGGCCCTTGCTCGATTGGATTAATTGAGGATTCTCATGTTCTTATTAAGCTATCACTAATGGAAGAATACATTCATCTGTTATCGAAGCCTGCTTTTTATTTGAAGGCACATGGTGATATGTGGCAGATGAGGTGTACCAAATGGAGCCCATGGTGGAAACCTAATGAAGAGACCCCAATTGCTAGAGCTTGGATTTCGTTCTTAGACTTGCCTCCTAACTTTTTTGGTAAGGATTTTGTACTTTCTTTAGCCAGGGCAGTTGGTAAACCATTACATGCAGACATGGCAACTCAGAATGGTACAAGGCCAAGTTGTGCTAAGGTTAAAGTTGAGATGAATTTATTAGCTAATTTTCCACAAAGAAATAAGATTGTGGAGGAGGAAGATGAAACTGGCCCTGAGGAATCGTAGTGGATCAAAATTAAATACGATTATGTTCCTAAATACTGCAAACCTTGCAAAAAGCAAGGCCATAATGAACAAGAATGCTGGGTGATTAATCCAGAATTACACAAGAAACATGAGGATGTTGTTGAGGATCAAGGCAAGGAGAAGAATATTATTGTGAAAAGTAATGTTACTGGAACTACTGCAGCTTCTACGAAGTTCTTAATAAGTGGAAAACTTATGGGTAATCCAGTGTCAAATGCTACAAGGAATGAGTGGATGCAAATAAGAAATAACAAATATCAAAGGATAGTAGAGGATACATAATTGATGAGGCTGNCATTTCCCCAACCTCTACACAACAGTTTTAATGTCATGAACCTTTTGAATTTGCACATGATATTTGATGTTCTAGTCCATTGACGTCTTCGAAACGCATAAACCTTTGCACCAAGTGCCGAGATCATATGCAACACACCTACCTATTTGTGTGTATTGCCGATGGCAGAGAAATCTAAATAGCTTGATCAAGACACATTCATTAGTCAATTCCAAAATACCAATCAATCAACTACATCTCAACCGCAAACTAATTCAGGTAGGTCACAAAAACCCTCTGAATCCATTCTGTTCTATTCAGCCTATCTCATTCCAATATTGAGTAATTTGTTACGGGTCCCTTAAGACAAGGGGTTCTAGTATCCAACAATGTGGTTTAATGGTCAATTAAATAGGATGTCTCAGGTTCAAATATCAGGGGAAGCAAAAATGCAAAATACACTAGGTGATCTCTTTCCATCTTCCTAAGCTTTGGTGGGCAAAGTTACCTAATACTTGTGCTGGTGGTAGGAAGCAGGTACCCGGTGGAATAGTCGAGGTGCGCGCAAACTAGCTCAGACACCTACCATCATTTATTAAAAAAATAAGAGACTAGGGGTTCTTTCAATCTCACACTTATCCCTATATAGACATTCAAGGTTAACACTTAAAAAATGGAAATGCAAGTTTAACGTAAATGAAGGTGCTAACCTCAAGGCATTGAAGCCAATTATCAGTTTTGCCAAGTTCTTCAAAGAGCAAGAAACAGTGTTCAGTCCTCACAAACTTAACATACTTGTTCAGAGTGCTCACTAATGGCTTCTTATCACTGAAATTCTTCATCAGCAAAGTTACCAGCTCCTGTGCCTCGGATGACCCGATACGGCTCATGGTACCCGACTTCCTCCCGGGTCGGGTCGACACACAACGGATAACATAGAAAACGGGTCTCTTGTAAGTGAAATTTAGCCATGGATTGTGGGTCAGTTTGGGTTGTTGAAATGTTGGTGTAGTAGTAGTTGAAGAGGTAAACTGAACCGACCCGGAATAAGAAAATGGCAGGGTCATTATTGGTATTTTTTTTATTGGTGTAATTAAAGTGGAAATTGAATGTGCATTGGATTGGAGGGTAGTTTTATGGGCGTAGGGGTGAGGGAGATAATGGTGAAAAATGGAGAGAGGAAGTGAGCAGATATTGCAGAAAAGTAGTGGAAGTTTTCGGTGTTCAACTTTCAGTTCCGAGAGAAGGGATGATGTGCAGTAAATGACGATGTTGCCCTTGAATGGGCCAAAAAAGGTAAAAAAAGACTGGATCACACTTTGAATCGGGGGATTTGAACCCGACGTGAATCGAACACGCAACCTTCTGATCTGGAGTCAGACGCGCTACCATTGCGCCACGGATCCTATTGTTGTTCAATCGTATTGTTATTTTTATATAGACATTCACTTGTTCTTGTTATTACACTGTCTTCACAAAGTATAATTGGCTATTTGGCTTGATGTAAACTGATGTTAAAGATTATGGTAGATCGTTAAAATGACACCAGTGCAAAAATGTTCAACATACGAAACCTTTGGATTATACAAAGAAAATTAAGGACCCGTCTGTCTACACATATTTTATCTTTTTCTTTTTTTTTTTCAAATTTTGGAAATTTTTAAAAAAATGAGTTTTTCAAAAAATTTAGAAATTTTTGTTTCCCCATTCACAAAACCGCTGTAAAAACTTGGAGACAACTGAAGAAAGAAAGGATGGGCTCAACTCGAGCTCTAATGGCGGATGATGTTGTACTGTCGAAGAGAGAGAGGAGCAGTTACATGAATGAACCTTCTAGAAAGAAGGAGCTACTTTTCTTTATTATTTCAACTCATTAAAAAAAAGGAAAAATACAAAGGTAATGTCTTATTTATAGTAGTTGTACATCTGCTCAAGAATTAACTAACTACTTAATGCTAATACAAGTGTAAAAGAATAAAAATAATAAATAATCTCAACACCCCCCCTCAAGTTGGAGGGGAGTACCTCACATCCAACTTGCTAAGAAGTGCAGCATGTTTGATCCCTGTCAAAGACTTGGTCAAGATATCAGCTAGCTGCTCATTAGTAGAGACATGATGAAGAGAAATTAGTCCTTCCTATAGTTGATCTCTCACAAAGTGACAGTCCAGTTCAATATGTTTTGTACGTTCATGGAACACAGGGTTTCTTGCTATGTGCAAGGCAGCTTGACTATCACAGAAGATGGGAATAGGTAAGGTTAATGGAACAGTAAGCTCATTGAGAAGTCTTGCCAACCATACAAGTTCACCAACCACCATTCTAGCCGACCTATATTCAGCTTCTGCAGATGATTATGAAACAGTAGACTGCTTCCTAGACTTCCAGCTGATAGGGCTATTACCAAGTAGCACAATGTACCCACTGACTGATTTCCTTGATTGAGAGCAAGTAGCCCAGTCTGAATCACAGAATGCCTTCACACCATAATCTGCAGTGTTGCTGAGGAAAATGCCCAAAGATGGGGCACCTTTTAAGTATCTTAGGACATAATATGCTGCCTTTAAATGGGGTTTCCTGGGACTCTGCATGAACTGACTGAGATGTTGTACACTATATGCAATATCCAACCTAGTATTAGCGAGAAAGTTAAGTTTACCAATCAGCTTCCTATAATAGGAGGGATCAGCTAGTGGAGCTCCCTCATCAGCTTTCAGTTTCACTGAGGGATCCATAGGACAGGTCATAGATGGGAAATCTATACAACCAAACTCTCTCAGAAGGTCAAGAGTGAATTTCTTTTGTGACATCAGGACCCCTTGCTCTGTATATTGAACTTCTATCCCTAGGAAGTAATGAAGTCTCCCTAGGTCCTTTATCTTAAAAGTATCATGTAGAAAGGTTTTCAGGGACTCAATTTCTTGCAGATGGGTACCAGTGAAAAGGACATCATCTACATATACAGCTACAAACACTACTGACCCTTCACTCCTTTTATAAAATAAAGAATAATCAAGCATTGAATGAGTGTATCCCCTTGAACACAAAGCTTCAGTTAGTTTCTCATACCATTGTCTACTTGCTTGCTACCATTCAAATTGAGAATAAAGTTGAAAATGAACCTCTATTGAAAATTCACTGTAGATTTATGGGGTCCTGCTCTTGTTGTATCTTCCCAACATATGAAATACTTTGCTTTATATGTTGATGATCATATTAGATATACTTAGTTGTATCCTTTAAAAAGAAATACTGATTTCTTTGAAACATTTGTCAAATTCCACAGAATGGTTGAGAATAGTATTCAAAGAGAACCAAGATCTTTCAATATGATGGTGAGGTGAATTTTCAAGTTCTGAATTTGTTAAGTACTTAGAAGATTTGT